GGTGCAGGAGGTGACGGAAATGGCCTCCGTCAAGCGCTACCTGGACGGCACGGGCGTCATCGCCGGCGTGCTGGTGCCCTCCAAGGCCGACCCCACCAAGATGGAGAAGATGAGCATCTACCAGGCCATGTGGAAGGGCATCCTGAGGCAGGGCACGGCCCTGGTGCTGCTGGAAGCGCAGGCCGCCACTGGCTTCATCATTGACCCAGTCAACAACCAGAAGCTGTCGGTGGATGAGGCCGTGTCGTCCGGGCTGGTGGGTGTTGAACTGCAGGAGAAGCTGCTGTCGGCCGAGAGGGCCGTGACGGGCTACTCCGACCCCTACACGGGCGACAAGATCTCCCTCTTCCAGGCCATGCAGAAGGAGCTGATTGTGAGGGACCACGGCATCCGCCTGCTGGAGGCCCAGATCGCCACCGGCGGCATCATCGACCCCGTGCACAGCCACCGCCTGCCCGTGGAGGTGGCCTACAAACGCGGCTACTTCGACCAGGAGATGAGCCAGATCCTGTCTGACCCCAGCGACGACACCAAGGGCTTCTTTGACCCCAACACCCACGAGAACCTGACCTACGTGCAGCTGCTGCGCCGCTGCGTCCCTGACCCCGACACAGGGCTTTATTTCCTTAAAATTCTTAGATAATACTTGTAAAACCTTTTGATATTTTTGTTTGTTATTGCCTTGGGGAAGAATGTTGCTCTTGTGAATAATTCTTTTGCTGCCTGTGTTTGTCTTTCTTTTTTTAATTTTTTTTTTTTTTAATTTCTGAGCCCACTGAGGGAATTTCCTCTATGATCTCTTTGCTTTCCTACCTCCACCCACCTCAGGTGCAGCTTTAAAGTGCCTCCCCCTGAGCAGTGTTGAGGCCGTGCTTTGAGCTTTGTCTGGGGTCATCTTTCAGGAACAGAGGAACCAGCCTGGGTTATCTCAGGTTACTGTGGTGAAATATGTCGTCCTCCTTTTCCTCACCCAGGCTTAAGTGCAGGTCCTTGTTCCGTGTGGGTGTTACTGTGACAGGTATTTTTATCCGCCTTCTCTTCTGTTTTCCTGCACATGGTGAATGTTTTTCCCAGCAGCTTTACAGGGCAGCATTCGAGTTGCAAATTTTCAAGCCAGAGTTTTGCATGGAGAGCAGATTTCCGTGTGGGCAGGATCTCAGGCTGGCGTTGTCACCTGTGTTTGGTCTCCTTCCCTCAGCCTCTCCAGCTTTTCTGGGGGTGTCCGGAGTACAAACACGCTCAGCCCAGAGGGCTTTGCTCCCTTGCTTTGCTTTCCTTCCCTCCAGGGGGGATGGATCCACACAGGAGCTGAGATCCTGGAATGTACCTGGACAGTGCCATAGTTTTAGTCTGCCCATCCACAGCACAGCCTCCATCCCCTCTCCTTCCCATTGCCCTCCTGTGCCCTGAGCTGGCTCAGCCCACGTGCCACCCTCCAGGAGAGGAGCAGCCCCAGAGCCACTCCGCTGTAGAGTTCAGGGATGAATAGTTCTACTGCTGTTTAATAGAGGGAAACTTGACCTCCTTAAATGCTGCCTGGGGCTGCTTGCCTTAATTAACCCGGTAATGTCCTGGAAAATGGAGCTTTGACCCAGCTTGCGCTGCCGGTACCTGGGAATAAGCATCGGGGAGCTTTGGGGCTCCTGATCTTAAACCTGCTGTGGAGCCCGGGAAATTTACACGGGGGGGTCAAAAACGAAGCCCCACGGAAACGTGGAATGATTTGAGTGGGGAGGGACCTGAAAGCCCTCACAATGCCATGGGCGGGCACGCCCGGCTGGGGCTGGGGCTTTGATCTCCGGAGGCCTCCGGAGATCAAAGCCCCAGCCCCAGCCGGGGGCGTGCCAGCTCCTGCTGCCTCCTGGAGCATCCAGTGCCTGCGGACCTTGTCCTGTGTGCCACGCTGCCTCCTGCCCTGCCTCCCTGCCCACCTTCCTTCCTGCTCACGGGACCTTGCAGTCCTGGAATGCTCAGGGTTGGAAAAGCCCTCTGAGTCCAACTGCTCCCCCAGCGCTGCCAAAAGGTCACTGCTGACAATGTCCCCAAGTGCCATCACATCCACAGGGCTGATAAATCCCCCCCCCTCCAAGGAATGGGGGCTCCACCCCTGCCCTGGGGGCAGCTGTGCCCAGGGAAGCCCTGGGTGCCTTTTGGTGGGGAATGGGATCAGGCCTTGCTGTGTCCCAGAGCACCTCCTGGATTCCGGGATGCTGGGGAGAAATTCCTCCCTGGGAGGGTGGGCAGGCCCTGGCACAGGTTGCCCAGAGAAGCTGTGGCTGCCCCTGAATCCCTGGAAGTGTCCAAGGCCAGGTTGGATGGGGCTTGGAGCAACCTGGTCTGGTGGAAGGGGTGGGACTGGGTGACCTTTAAATCCTTTCCCACTTCAAACCACCCTGTGATTCCACAACTCCCGAGCTCCTGGCAGAGGCACATCTCCCTTTGCTTTATGCACGGCCCCCTGGGCACATTTTGGGAGCGCTTGATCGAGCGGAGCAGCCACCTTTAGGGGGGTCATTTATCAAGGGATGATCTCTGGGGCAGGACTTTCCCCTGTCTGCCCTCAGCAGGACATTCTGCCAGCACCCACCGTCTGTCCCCTGTGTCCAAGGAGTTGGTGGGGACAGAGGGCTGACCCTGGCTCTTGGAGGTGGGTGATGGGGCTGCACCCAGCTGGGGACAGAGCACAGGGCAGAGCCCACCAACTCCACTCAGCTCTGCACCTCCCCCAGTGCCCGAGGGGTCGAGGAGACTCCAGAGCAGGCACTGCACAATTAGAGCTCAGTCCATACCCGTGCCCTGTCCTGATGTGCCCTCAGGGAACAACAGGACTGTGCCTGGTGTGGACCTGGACCAGATCCTGAGCAGGATCCTTCTCCTCTCTGTGACCTGAAGCTGCCAAGGGAAACGCAGCTGCCAGGGAGCCAAATAAGAAACAAATTCCCTCGTACAGGAAGCAGCTGCAGCCGTGGTTCACCCCTGGCACCGCCCCAATGCCCCTGCCACCATTCCAGTGCCCCTGCCACCTTCCCAGCACCTTTGGCACGACCCCAGCATGCCAAGCTTATCTCCCTCCCACTCCCTGCCACTGGCCAGGTGCCTTCAAGCACCAAGGAAAAGCCTGGTGGATCCCTGTTTTCCAGGAATTACACATCGGGGCAGAGGATGCTCGAGAGTCCCTTTCCCACAGAGATCCGAGCTGTGCAATCCTGTCTCTCCCAGCTGGAATAAGGAGCGTTTTTATCTCCTGTGTGCCCGTGGCCACAGGTCTGTGCCCGTCCCCTGAGCACGGGGCTGGGCTGGTTCCTTGGGGCCTTTCAAAGGGAACATTTTTGTTGCTCTTTTCCTCCAGCAGTACCTGCACTGGGAGTGTGGCCAGGCAGGATTGGGTGCAGCGGGTGTGGCAGTGACACCTGCCGTGTCCAGGTGACCTCCCCTCGGGTCCAAGACTGCCTGGGTGATGTTCCCCCTTGGATCCAACTCCGCTGGCTCAGTTCTGCAGACCCCAAGTCGGCTCCACACCTGCCCAGGGCACCCACACAGTGCAGGGGGAGCTCCACACCTTCCTGGAGCTCCCACGCGGGTGGCTCTGTGCCACGGGACGCCGCTGGCACCGGGAATGCCGGTGCACGAGCTCCACACCGTGGGTTGTGTCGGGCACCGGGTGCTGCTGGATTTCTGGTGTCCCCTGCATGACACACAAAACTCTGCTCAAACTGGTTCAGCCCTGTGCCTTCCTGTCCCCCATCCCCTGAGTCTGATACCTTAATCCAGCTGTTTTCTGCCCAGACAAGGGGAAAGGCCAAGGGGTGGATGGTTTCTATCAGCCAATCCCCTCTGTAAGGTGCCTCTGGCAGGCCCCAACAGCATCAAAGGAGCCAGAAACCATCCAAGACCCCCAAAGCACCCCAGACTCATTTCTGAGGCTTCTACCAAAGGAAAGCACATGATCCACAGTGTTACATCAGACAGTAAAAATCCCCCCAAGGGGAGGTACCTGGACACCCTCACTTAAACCTGAACGTGCATTAAACCCACTGAACTCCCAACAGATCAACACCATGACCCTCATTCCCGCCATGGAAATTGCAGCAATCAAGTCTCATTGCTGGATCTGTGGGTGGTAAAATCCTCCTTCTCCACTATCTACCCTCGTCCTTCCTTTCTCTTTCTTTCTTTTCCTTTTATATTTTCTTTAGAGGTGCATTTATATTTTTATATATTTACGGTTTAACAGATAATAACCAAAACGTCCACATCCCCCTTTCCACTGCAGTTAAATTGCTTTAAAATAAACCTGCTCATGTATACACAGCGTCGTTTCACACCGATCCACCCCGAGGGATACACTGATGAAAACTTCACCCCTCCTCTGTCAGGGGTGGGTGGGATCACCCTGCCACGTGCTGCCCCTGTGTGGATGTTCCGGGGGGTGTCCGAGCACAGGGGCTGCTGTCTCCACATCAGATGTGGGCTGTTCCCTCCTGCTTCGTGTGCCTCCCTTCCTCAGCAATCCGTCCTCAGCACCACCGTCCAGGGGCTCAGGGACGGACGCTCCCAGGACCAGCTGGAGGGGAGCCGGGAGCTGTGTCAGCACCCGAGCTCTGGCACAGGAGGTTTCCCAAAT